CCCCAGAGCACCCCAGGAGGGCCCCCAAACGGCCCGAGGCGGGCCCGCGACGGCTCCAGAGACGCCCTGGACGGCCCAAGAGGCAACCAAGACAGCCCAAAGAGCAGTCAATAACGGCCCAAGACGGCCCTAAGACGGTCCGAGCTGCGCCCAAGACGGCCCCACACGGCCCAAAGACGGCCCAAGAGGCACACCAGACGGCCCAAGAGGGACCCAAGGGGATTCCCGGGAGGCCGGGAAAGAGGCCCCCAAACGGCCCCCAAGAGGCCCTAAATCCCTAAGTGGCTTCCACCTTGCCTCTAAGAGAGGGGGGTCGGACGAGAGGCGAGGGCCGGACCGCATGCCCACAAGAGCTGTTTTCAACGCTCTGGTGCCCTTCCATGCTTGTCTTTTGGGGAGCGGTCCAGAGCGCCCCAGAGCGCTCCGGGAGCCCTTCGGGCGCTCCAGGACCCTTGGAGGCTCCCCAGATGGCGCCATGAGGGCCCCACACGGCGCCAGAGGGCCCCAGACGGTCCTTGCACGCTCCGGGAAGCCCCACAGAGTGTCCACGAGGACCCTCAAATGGGCACGACACGACCCAAGCGAGGGCCAAGGCGCTCCGAGAGGCCTCCAAAAGGCCTCACAAGAGGGTCCCGAGAGGTCAAAATCGTTTGTTGTCCTAGGCTTTTCCAAAGATTTCCCGCTTGCCGCCAATTCAGCTTTCGGACACTCGAAGCAGCCCTCGAAGACTTCAAGGCCACCCCAAAAGGACCCAAAACGCCCCCAGGAGGCTCCCAGGAGGGCCCCAAGATGGGCCAAGACCGCCCCAGCACGACCCAAGGCGCGCTCAAGACGGCCCAAGACGGCTCCAAGACGGCTCCACGAGGGTGCCAACACGGCCCCAGACGGGCCCAGCACGGCCCAAGGCACGCTCAAGACGGCCCAAGACGACTCCAAGACGGTCCCAGGAGGGTGCCAACACGGCCACAGATGGCCCAGGAAAGCCCAAGGAGGCGCCCAGTCGGGGCCTCAAGACGGGCCAAGATGGCAAGAGAGCCCCAGCTGGCAAAAATCGTTGATTCCCTACCTAGGCTCTGCCTCCAGGGTTCTTACTCTCTTTCTTAAAGGGGCCGGGCAGTGGGGCCCGCCCCGGGCGGTTCCCCCGGCATCCGCCCCGCGGTTCCCGAAGTTAAGTCCTTTTAGCTTAGCGTTGCTTATCTCAGTTTAGCTTAGCTTATTTCATCTTAACTTAGCTTAGCTTCATCTTAGCTCAGGTTTATCTTAGCTTAGTTTACCTTCATCGTAGCTTCGCTGAGCTTTAGCATAGCAGAGCACAGCATAGCGTAGCGTAGCATAGCATAGCGCAGCACAGCATATCATAGCATAGCCCAGCATAGCATAGCATAGCGCAGCATAGCATAACATAGCATAGCGCAGCATAGCATAGCATAGCGTAGCATAGCATAGCATAGCTTAGCATAGCACAGCGCAGCATGACATATCATAGCTTAGCATAGCATAACATAGCATAGCATAGCGCATCATATCATAGCATGGCATAGCATAGCATAGCATAGCGCAGCATAGCATGGCATAGCATAGCATAGCATAGCATAGCATAGCAACTAATGCTGCTTTACTAGGGGCTCCAACTTCTAGGTAGGCTCGCACTGGGGTAATTGTCCATTGCTTATTGTTACAGCCTTTGCGGTTCCCGCCATTTCGGCGGTCGGATGCCCCAAGAGGCCCGAGAAAGTTCAGGAGGGCCCGAGGAAACGCCCAGGAAGGCCCCAAGACGGGCCAAGACGGCCCCAGCACAACCCAAGGCGCGCTGCGACGGCTCAAGACGGCTCTAAGACAGCCCCAAGAGGGTGCCAACGCGGCCCTTGCTGGGCTCAGGACGGCTCAAGGAGGCGCACAGGAGGGGCTCAAGACGACTCGAAGGTGGCCCCAGACGGCTCCAAGACAGCCCCAAGATAGTGCCAACAAGGATCCCGATGGGCCCAGGACGGCCGACGGACGCGCCCATGAGGGGCCCACGACGAACCAAAACGGCCCCATCACGGCAAACAGCGCCCTCAAGACGGGCCTAGACGGCTCCAAGACGGCCTTTTGAGGGAGCCAACACGGCCCCACACCCTTTGGGCGAACACTTGGGGGGGCTGGGAGCTTGCGGCAAGTCTCCCACATTCATTGTCCTGCCCCATTCTGTTCGCCTGGAGGCCTCCTCCAACCCTGTGGGCGAACAAGAGGAAACCCAGCGGGCCCCCAACCCTGGGGCCCGTGGGCCCCGCGCCGCTTGGGCAGAAGACGAACGCCAGGTCTGACAGGCCAGCTACCGCCCCCTTTTGCCCGATATGCTGTGCCATTCTGTTCCCCCAGGGGCCTTGGCAAACTCTGCGGGCCAACCAGACGGGACCCCTGGGACAGCAGTCAATTGATATGACCCAGGCACCTCTCCGAACTCTTCGGACCACAGACCCTCTGGGCGAGCAGAATGGGACTTGGCGAACAAACCCTCCCGTTGGCGGCGATGCGACTGGATCGCACCGTCAAGGCGTGCCTGGAGGTGATGGCCGACCCAACAGCGGTTTCTGTAAGATGTTACTGAATTTCAATTTTTGCTTAAGCTCTCTGGGGCCCTCCATGTGGATCCTTGCGCTCCCCGGCGCTTGCGGTGGTTTTCCCCGATGGCCTCCCGAGCCCTTCCCCAGGCGCTCCTGAGACGCCTCAGATGAGCTTCGACTTCGACGCACATCCCCGAGAGACTTCGAAACTGTCCTCAATGGGAGGGGGGTGAACGAGCAGTGCGCTGGGCCAAGCTGCTGGAGCGCTGCAAGAGCTCGGACACGAAGGCGCGGTCTTCGTTGCCGCCGCCCGAGCCGCCGCCGTGTTTGTAGATTTTCGGTGCAATCTGCGCCGTTCCTCCGAGAACCATTCCAGAAAGATCTCGTGGACGGAGTCCACGGGGGCGGACGAGGGGACCGCCTCAGGAGGTTTTGGACGGTTTTGGGCTTCAAAATCATCCGCTTTACGAAGGTTTTGGAAGGATGTTGGCCTTCTCGCTTTTTCCGCTTTCCGACGCTCGAAGACGGCCCAAGAGGCCTCCAAGAGCGCCCCAGAACGGCCCAAGAGGTTTCCAAGAGCGCCCCAAGACAGCCCAAGAGGGCCCCAAGACGACCCAAGAGACGCTCAAGACGGCCCACGAGGGCCCGAAGACAGGCCCAAGAGGGGGCCAAGAGGGGGACCACGGACCGAAAATCCGAGCATTCCGCCCCAAGAGGGCGCCATGAGGCCCAAACAGGCCCCCAAGAGGCCCCAAGGGGCCGCCAAGAATCCCCCAAAGAGGCCCCAGGAGGCTCCAAAGGAGCCGAGACGAGGCCCCAACAGAGGCCCCAACAGCTTCCAAAATAGCCCCAAAGAGGCCTCGAGCCCGCCTCCGAGCTTCCTCGCCGCGAGGGTGCCAACACGGCCCCAGACGGGCCCAGGACGGCCCAAGGCGCGCTCAAGACGGCCCAAGACGATTCCAAGACGGTCCCAGGAGGGTGCGCCCAGGACGGCCCAAGGACGCGCCCGGTCGGGGCCTCAAGACGGGCCAAGATGGCAAGAGAGCCCCAGCTGGCAAAAATCGTTAATTTTCCATTGTTTATTGTTACACCCTTTGCGTTTCCCGCCGTTTCGGCGGTCCGATGCACCAAGAGGCCCCAGAAAGTCCCAGGAGGGTCCGAGGAAACGCCCAGGAAGGCCCCAAGACGGGCCAAGACGGACCCAGCACAACCCAAGGCGCGTTGCGACGGCTCAAGACGGCTCCAAGACAGCCCCAAGAGGGTGCCAACACGGCCCTTGCTGGGCCCAGGACGGCTCAAGGAGGCGCACAGGAGGGGCCCAAGACGACTCCAAGGCGGCCCCCTCACGGTCCCAGACGGCTCCAAGACAGCCCCACGAGGACCCCGATGGGCCCAGGACGGCCTACGGACGGCCCATGAGGGGCCCACGACGAACCAAGACGGCCCCATCACGGCACACGGCGCCCTCAAGACGGGCCTGGACGGCTCCAAGACGGCCCTTTGAGGGAGCCAACGCGGCCCCACACCCTTCGGGCGCACACTTGGGGGGGCTGGGAGCTTGCGACAAGTCTCCCACATTCATTGTCCTGCCCCATTCTGTTCGCCTGGAGGCCTCCTCCAACCCTGTGGGCGAACAAGAGGAAACCCAGCGGGCCGCCAACCCTGGGGCCCGTGGGCCCCGCGCCGCTTGGGCAGAAGACGAACGCCGGGTCTGACAGGCCAGCTACCGCCCCCCTTTGCCCGATATGCTGTGCCATTCTGTTCCCCCAGGGGCCTTGGCGAACTCTTCGGGCCAAGCAGACCGGACCCCTGGGACAGCAGCCAATTGATATGACCCTGGGACCTCTCCGCATTCTTCGGACGAGCACCTGGGGGGCCCAGGAGATTCGGACAAGTCTTCCCCATTCCTTGCCCTGTCCCGTTCTGTTCGCCCGAAGGCCTCCACAGACCTTCTGGGCGAACAGAATGGGACATGGCGAACAAACCCTCCCGTTGGCGGTGATGCGACGGATCGCACCATCAAGGCGCGCCCGGAGGTGATGGCCGACCCAACAGCGGTTTCTCTAAAGATTCTACAGAATTTCAAATTTTCTTGAAGCTCTCTTGTGCCCTCCCTGTAGATCCTTGCGAGCCTCCCCGGCGCTTTCGGTGGCTTTCCCCGATGGCCTCCCGAGCCCTTCCCCGAGCGCTCCTGAGACGCCTCAGATGGGCTTCGACTTCGACGCACATCCCCGAGAGACTTCGAAACTGTCCTCAATAGGAGGGGGGTGAACGAGCAGTGCGCTGGGCCAAGCTGCTGGAGCGCTGCAAGAGCTCGGACACGAAGGCGCGGTCTCGCTGCCGCCGCCCGAGCCGCCGCCGTGTTTGTAGATTTTCGGTACAATCTGCGCCGTTCCTCCGAGAACCATTCCAGAAAGATGTCGTGGACGGAGTCCACGGGTCAGCCCTAGTCAG